AACGTACCACGAAGAATTACACAGACACCGTTCAAAATAAATCGGCTTTCAAAAGTCACCTGCAAAATCCCACTCACATCTTTAACTGTTTTTTTTTCTTCTCCAGCATGGAATGCGTAAAAGTATTTAGAAATGGAACCTTAGTAAGTTAAACAAGGACGTGGATCACAGTTGAGATAATGGATTAGGGAATAATTAGGCCTAGCATGAAAAAATAAAAGAAATGGAAATCTGCCAAACAAACCTCGTCCTGGCCAACCGTACATGAAGATAGGGAGAAATCGCTATTGTAGCCAAAGTGAGTAAATGTCTGGAAAAAATGGACTTATCATCTTGTAGACGAAATTCAAAACCTTAATTATAGCTCACACTAAACGCATTTAGAAGCAGCTCGAATACGGTAACATGTACCTGAACCAACTGGCAAGGTTGTAGATGGCTTCCTAAAAATAATGCTCACGAGAAAGCTGTAACTTCTAGCACGATACCATAGAAAAGGATTAAAGAATCATATAAGGTACCGCGGAAAACTTGCAAAAAGCCAGCAAAGAAGCCGCCACGAGAAAGTATGTCTGCCTGTGAGAAAGACAGAAGAAAGAAAGGTGTATGCTGCCTTGAACGTAGACACACAGAACACTGAGATCGCCAGTGCAGTGGTTTAACACGTCGCGCTTAGAGGCGAAGAGAGCGGTTCGATTCTCTCTCGGTCCATACTCATTTGCAAAAAATGTTCTGTCCATGATAGAAAGGTTTTTTTTCGTAGTGAGAGGTCCAAAATTCAGAACAAAATTTTCATCCTCGCTGAGGATAGAGAACTGTATTATCTAAAATTTTTGGGGGAAAATTCTTTTGTTGCGAAAAAATTTATTTGCTGAGAAGAATAATATTTGCTTGGATGGATGTAAAGTGCGCCAAAAATTGGTGGGTAGGCGGCCTGGTGTGAGTGGTGAGATGAATGGTGTTGGAAGAGTGGGGAAAGCTGTTCGGATGCGGTAATTTGAAACTTAGCTAACTGTTATTTATTGCTTCACAGTTCTTGTCCACAAAACAAGCAGCTTCAGTAGAAGTGGTCTGACTTTTTCAAAAGCTATCCAAAACTCGTACCCACCAGGCACTTGCGGTCGCTTTTTTACTTTCTTTACAAACTTCCACAACCGTCACCACCACTACCACCATCGCTACAACGACAACAACAAAGTGCACATTCTTTCCTCCACTTTTCGAATATGCATTTTTTTTAAATTTCAAAAAAAAAATTGATAAATCAAGAAGTGCTGCACAGCGTAAATTTATGCTTTATAGCACATCTTCTTGACCTTTACTGCATTACCATCCGCTAATAAACCCCAGACATTATTCCGGTACAACCCAATCTTAGCCAAACAAAAAGTGGCGCAGTGTCTTTTCGAAATGCATGGAACTGTCGAGTTTGTACCCTGGAGCCCCTCGACAAAGCCTAGTCCGCCACCCGGTACAGCAGGACTCGGTTCTTAGATTAGAAATTTATGGGGATATTCAATTCCCGTAATGCAATTAACAGGGATATCTACACTGATAGTTCAAGCTGGTACTCTTTGTCTTGGTATTTTAATTTAGCAGACAGGTTTCTAAAATCGAAAATGTTCCAGGCTACAAAATTTCACTAGGCTTAAATTGATTTCTCGATAGAAATTCAGCACTAAAGCCACTAACATTGAATACCTGCACTTACAGCATACTTTCTGGATCCGTTTTCGCCAGCTGCGGTGGAAAAAAATACGATAACAAATCACTTTCAGAAAGCGTTTTTTTTTCAAAAAAAAATCTCTTCAGTCCGCAAAGATTCCCACCATCGCTACGAAGTGGCTACTTCGAAATGAGATATTGTTACTCAACATACACCAAAGGCATTTTGAAAAATTCTTGTTAGATGCTCCTATGGCTACAAACATTGAGCTGGTAATCCTTTCAGTAAAAGAAACAGCTTTCAGAATCATTATCCGGTTGACGGCCACCAGCCGATTCAGCACTGGTCAAAACAATTCTGACCAACTGAGAATGTATTCCAAGTAATAAATGAATCTTTAAAAAACTGAGGTAGAAATACACCAAGCTTGCCGGTGCGATATTGCGTTTTTGTAGCAGACTCAAAGTACTCATTCATTGACTGCTTGAATGGTTGTTACTCAGTCATTAACTCATTAACTGCACGGATGAATGGTTGTCTCCGAGTTAGCAGCTTTCCCGCCGAAACTTTCACATGCTCACACTTGGGTATCCCAGGTACTTGAGAAGCTGAATTTGAAACTTTTAAATCGCACAACAGGGAACATCGCCCTGAAATTTCTGCCTTCCGGCTTTTCTGGTTACCGAGTTAGCAATTTTCCCGTTAAATTTTTCAACTGCTCGTACGTGAGAATCATACACACCTGGGTGCTGAATTTGAAATCTTTAGATCACACATGCACAAGGCATATCCTACAAGATTTCAGCACCTTATCTTGTCTGGTTCCCGAGATTGCTTTCCCGCTAAAAAATTTACATGTTTTTTTAAGACGCCCGTACGCGGCACCCAGACGTAGGCGGAGAAAGATATTACAAGGGGAGAGTCGCGCATGGTGTGGGCACATACTCCCCAAGTTTCAGCCTTCTAGCTT